GTCATAGTCCTTATATAACATCCTCTCTGATGAGATGACTTTGTCGCTCATGAGTGTGCTTGGCCTGGGTCAAGTGTAGGTATGCACATATAGCACGTCACTGAAAATTATTCCTTTTTCACTATATACAAATCCTCAGTCTGTCCAGGCTGATTACCAAATTGCTGCTAGTCCTCCCCAGCCCTTATTCTGAACTGCTAGTCCTCATTATATAGCCCTGGCTCAGACCACAGAGAAAATCTCTCTTCCATTATTCAGTGTTCTCTCATTGCTGGAGAAACAGCATGTCCGCAGAGCTGTTCCTTAGCAACAGCTGTTAGCAGTGGGTTTATATGTCACAGTATATTCCCATAGAACATGACACAGGATTTCTCATCTTCAAGACTGACTGTTGAGCCCATGCCTGTCCTGTCTAATAGCGCTTTTCGTGGTGATAAAATAGCTGTAATACATGACCTGCCCACCTCATCCTCGACTTCATCATACTAATTACACCGGAGAAGAGTGCAAGTTATGAAGCTCCTCTTTATGCCGTTTTCTCCAGCAACAATATTGCATAGCGTTAGCAAAATTATGTATTTTTGTTCTAGTTTTGAAATGCGGTTTTGTTACGTCACATCAACTGCTTTGTGCTCACGCGTGTATGTGTAGCTGCGTGATATCAAGGTTGGGCTGACACTTCGTGGCTTTCCATGAGGTTTTAGTTTCGAGTGTTCAGGTTATACTCCACAGATGACGCTAAGTTATTATTTCATTTTTTCTTGTTAACTCGCGCTTGGTCCTAAGTGATTATATAGCTGCTTGATATCAAGGTTGGGCTGACACTTCGTGGCTTTCCATGATGTTTCAGTCTCGACTCTTCAGGTTTTATTCCACAGATGGCGCTGAGTTTTATTTAATTTTAGCATGTTAACTCGCGCTGATTTAGCTACGGCTCAAGTGCTTAAATATATGCATGATACGAACGCTGGGCTGACATTCAGTGACTTTCTATAAGGTTATAGTCTCGAGTGTTCAGGTTTTTGTTTCACATATGGTGCCAACTTTTATTTCGCGCTGTTTTAGGTTGGTCCTAAGTGATTAATCTTTAACGGTGGAAGTACCGCATTCAAGCCAGTGATGACTATGATCGTCGTGGCCGAAGTATCCCGTTTTGGGCAGTTTGGAATTTAAACTTCTCTAGTAGAAGCGCATGCGGGTCACGGTAGCCGAGCAGTCTTAGGCATGTACTGCCTTAGCACGCTTGAAAACAGGGACCGTGCTTGATATATATATAGGCTAATATGAAACTACAGTATTCGATTTCACTATGAACGCACAGAAAACGGATCGCACTCTGTATTTCAACCACGTTGCAACTGTCTGTTCACAACCCTAGAAAGGGCAATAATCTTTTGAAGCTACAACGGAAGGTCTTAGCACTTAAGAAGGGACCGCTCCAGCTATTTTACTTGAATAGCCATTCTTTCACTCTTCTGTCCTTCAGTCAAAGGTTCGAAAATCCGAAGAGAGTAAGCAGTGCTAGCAGAAGACCACATGATTTTATTGCTTCCATCTGTTTTACGACTCCAGGGACTGCTAAAGTTGTCAAGTATTACAAACAAAAATGAATTTATAATGCAGAACAAGTCTGTGAAGAACTGGGAAAAAATTTTTGCTGTATGCATCAAAATTAAAAGAAAGAAAAATGAAAAATAGAGTATAACTCTTTGTATAAAAAATTTCAAATCTTCCGTTATAATATGTGACACTATGTTCTTTGCTGATAGAAACAAATTTAATTCCATCAATTTATCATAAAAATTGAGTTAGATACGGCATTTTTAAACACAATGCTTAAAATTGTTTAAGTGCCCTAACAGGAACGGTTATTTAAACGCAGAGTTGCAGCAGTGATTTAAATAGCTGCGTAATATCAAGGGTGGCCGGTGGTCTAGACGTAGGGTCTATGATTTAGAAGTTATGTGGTTGGAAGACATGACTATTTTTGTGGAAAAAAGAGAATATAATAAATTTGTACATGTAGGAAACAAGGGGTACTATATGAGGAAGGTGCAGGTAACAAGTTTGCATAGATCTGGTGGTACGTGGGTAAGACATTGGCGTAGAATTGGGAAGGTACGGGGTTCGAGACTACGGTGTCTTCTGTCAATATAAATTGAAAAGTGAATAAATAAATACGATTTTTCTGCAGCTATAAACCAAGTCGTATAATATAAGGACGATTGCAGACATCTCCGTCGTGCATGTTCTGGTGGTCTTGAGGTAAGGCACCGGCGTTGTAAATATAAGATTCGTGGTTCGAAAACAGAAGTATTTTTGTAGTGAGATTTTTATGGAATTATATAGCGACATGTAACATAAGAGGAAGATTAAAGCTAAAAAATTTCCGTGGCAACGGTGGCCTATTGGTAAAACACCGGCGTAGTGAACAAGAGTTGGAAGGTTCGAAACCAAGTATAGTTTTTTGATTTAGAAAGTAAGTTAATTGATTTTTCTGGTATTATAGTCGAAGATGTAGCTTAAGAGGAAGATAAAAGAAAATAAATTTCAGTGGCGCTGGTGGCTTAGGGGTAAGACATCAGCTTAGTGTTCAGAAGGTCCCTGGTATAAAAGCAGTAGGATTTTTGTGAAAAATAAAATGGAAAGAAGTTAGGAGATAGGGTAAAAGAGGAGGGAGAGATAGAGGGAGGGACCGGGGTGAGGGAAGATTTTTTTTTTGCGGCCGCTCATTAAGACACTCAACCTAAGCGGGTTTTATTAAAATCCACATGGGATCAAAAAGAAAAAAATTTTGGCCCACCGTCCGCCCACCAACCACCCGCCCTTAGGGGGCGACTTTGACTTATTCATTTGAGACCAAATTCTATGAGCGAGATTTAGCAAGAAAATGTA